GCCGTACTGTCCTGGGTGATCGAAGCTGTTTCTTGGACGCGGTCCCAAGTGCGATGGGAGCAGCACGACTCCACGCGCGCGTTTGGCGCGCGTCGCCCCACTCCCTGCTCTCAGCGCTGTGGCCCGTCCGGCGAGCGGCTGCGGAGGACGACGCTGCGGCGTCCGCGAGGCCAGCTGCCGGGCCAGCGGGCAGCGAGCGGCGGCAGGCAGCCGTGTGCGCGATGGCGGCTCGCCCGGCACGGTGGACGGACAGACGGAGAGGGGCGACGACGTTCGTCGCTCGAAGCCCATCGATCGTTCCAGCTTCACTTCCTCTTCTCCCTCCCCCCCCCTCGGCGACGAGCGAGGGGGGGAACTGAGAAGGGGCGGGCCTTCTCAGAAGGCTCGGAAGTTCCCAAGCCTTCTGAGAAGTGTTCTATAAGCCTTCCCCGAAGACGCAAAAAACCTCTCAGGAGGCGCGAGGGCCTCTGAGAAGTCCCGCCGCCTTCTGAGAAGGCCCTCCCCTTCTCGTTGCCCCCCGTCGCTCGCCGCCAGCCCCCCCCTCTCCCCGAGAGCTGATGGCAGGACGGCGCGGGGCGCTGTCGGCACGAGTTCCCAGCGAGCCGCACCGCTCTCTTGGCAAAGGCGGAGGCCGCCTCGCCAGGCAGGCGCACGGTGGGGCCGCAGGGTACTAGGCACCCCGCGTCTCGTCAGGGTTCCCGCGCTCTCTTCGGCTGGCGTTCGGGGTGGCAGGCCGCCGCATTCTCGAAGCCACTGCAAATGTGAGGCCCTCACATCTGCAGCGTCTTCGAGAGGGACCCTCGCAGTGTGCCCTCACGGTGAGGCCCTCGAACGTGAGGCCCTCAAATGTGAGGCCCTCAAATGTGAGGCCCTCGCAGTGCAGGCCCTCAAATGTGAGGCCCTCAAGCCCGGGGTGCCTTCACAGTGAGGGCACCCTGGGTTTCTTGGGCGCCGGTCAGTTTCGGGGCACGCGCCCGAACCTCCAAGAAATTTCCGGGCATTCGGGGTCCCTTGGGGGTTTCTTCGCCCGCCACTCGGGTTGTTCGTCCCGCGTTGCCCATCCACTCGCGGGGATTCGCCAGTCTGACAAGTGGGCGTTGGTGCATTTCGGAGCGAATGCCCGAAAGCCCAAGACATTGACAATGGAGACGTCGCCGCTTTTCTGTTTGTGCCAGGCCCGAAGCTCGCATTTTCGATCGCCTTGGGTATCTTGATGCTAAATTGCTTCACGCCAGCAGTCAAGAAATCGATCGTGTCAGGGTTCCCTCGTTTTTTCGTTTGCAGCCGAAGTGCAAGAAACCCAACCTTGGACCAAGAAACCTCGGCGGATTTCAGGGTTGGGTTCCTTACGGTGGGTTTCTTGTGGATCGGTCTCCACTGTACACTGCGCAGCCGGCAGCAATCCTCTTGTGTTGCTAATCAGTGAGGGGCCCGAACGGACTTGCACCCTCCCTGAGTGCGGGGGTGAAGTGGGATTCCGTAGCCCAGATTCTGCCTGTTCGTTGTCAGCTGCTGCTGTGCTGCAGCACTGGGCTGCGGCCCCGTGCTTCTCTCCCCCTCCCCCCTCTGGGCCGCCCCACCTGGGAGGGGGGCCCACGGTTAAATCGAGCCTGTCCCTCTACAGGAGGAAAATTCAAAAATAGTTAGAAAATAGCCTGGGGACTATTTTTGAGCATTTTTTGGCTATTGTTGGCCGTTTTGTTGTTTGATATTTTTCATTTTTCGCCCTGAATCCGCCTGTGGGAGGGGGGCCTGCGGGGTCGAGTCGCGTCGCGGGGGCGGGGTGCGGGGGGGGGGGGGAACAGCCTGGCGCTGGCCCGAGCATTCGTAGTAAGGATCCCCCAGACATGCACAGGATGTTACGCTGGACTTTTTCTGCAACTCGTGAAGATTTCCTTTGGATCTCCTTCGGGCTCCTGAGAATTCCCCAGGGTTCCTTCAGACTCACAAGGGCCACCGAAGATTCCTGAGGATTCCGCGGGGTTCTCGATTCGAGGACTCCTGAAGATTCCGATGGATTTCATTCGATCCCCGAGGGTTTCGGATGGCCCTGACAGATTCCGAAAGGATTCCTTTGGATTCCTAGGAGATCGGGATCCCTCAGGACTCCAGTGTATTCCGTAGGATTCTTGAGGATCCCACGGGATTCCTATGGCTTCCTTTCGATTCCCATGGATCCCTTCGGCTTTCATGGATTCCGAAGGTGTTCCCAAGAACCCATCAGAATTCTGATAGATCTCTACGGCCTCCTCAGGGTTTCTTCGGCTTCCTGGGGATAATCCTCGGGAGGATCTTCTAGGAATCCCTCAGAGGATTCCTGGAGATTCCGAGGGATCCGGGCCCCAAAGCTTCCTACGGACACTGAGGCGGAGGATGTAAAGGAGAAGGGCGGGGGACTGGGAGGCTGCCTGACCTCGCCGGGAGCCCCCGGGGCTCCCTCGCATCCTGCCCTGCCCTGCTGGGCCTGTTTTCCATCACAACCAGCACAAGTTGGAGGGGGAGGGGGTCCTCCTCCTCCTCTTCCTCCTCCTCCTCCTCCTCCTCCTCCTCATTCTCCTCCTCCTCCTCCTCCTCCTCCTCCTCTTCGTCTTCCTCCTCCTCGTCCTCCACCTCCTCCTCCTCCTCGTCCTCGTCCTCGTCCTCCTCCTCCTCCTCCTCCGCTTCGTCCTCCCCCTCCTCCTCGTCCTCCTCCTCCTCCTCCTGGTCCTCCACCTCCTCCCCCCCTCCAGCTTCTGGTGGTGGGGGTGGAACGCAGGCCCATCGTGCCCCCCCGCAGGTGAAGGAGGCGAGGGACGCGCTGCGAGCGCTGGGCGCCCGCGCGGCGATGAAGCAGGACCGCTGCTCCCGGCGTCCTCGGCGTGGTGTGGTCGGGAGCTCCCCCTCCTCCCCCCCCCCCTCTCCTCCTCCTCCTCCTCCTCCTCCTCCTCCTCCTCCTCCTCCTCCTCCTCCTCCTCCTCCTCCTCCTCCTCCTCCTCCTCGGCGTGGTGTGGTCGGGAGGGCTGGGCGCGGCGCGCCGCCGGTTCTGGCCCGCCGCGCTGCCGCGCGAGACGCTGCCCACGCCGCGGCCCTCCCCGGGCTTCCACGTCCCGAGCCCGTCCTTATTAAGGGACGGCACAGAGGGGGGGGCGATGGCTGGGGGAGGGGGGGGCATCTCGTGGCGGGGGCCATAGGATCTCGCCGGATTTCATGGCGCCTCTTCTGACTTCATCACGTCCCTGCCCCCCCTCCCTTGGGCCGCGCACGCGCCGCCGGCCACGATCTGTACCCCCCCCCCCTCTTGGACGCCCCCCTCTTGGCCGTCCCAGACGTCCCAGACCTCCCGCCCCGCGGAGCGGGCGACACTCCATCACCTCGCAGGGCATGCCTATGCGACCACCCTTCGGGTGATCATGAGGTCAGATGGAGAGGGGGAAGAACCAACTGCTGGCAATTGCGACGGGTATGATGATGAGGATGCTGGTGGTGCGCCCTCGACTTGGCGACGACGCGTGATGGCAAGGTTTCGCCGCGACGTCACTATCGATCTCACTTGATCGATCTCACTATCGACCTCACGGGCAGCCTTGGTATCGACGGATCCAGCAATCGATCCCATAAACGATCTCGCTCTGAGTTGCGCTGAGTACGATCGGGACATCATCGGGACACCATCAATGGCGCACGATCGATCTCACAATCGATCTCACTTGACCGATCCCACTAGTTACCCATTTTACATTCGATCTCTGAAGCGATCTCAATCGAACTTACAATCGAGCTCAACATCGATCCCACTATCGATCTCAATGTTGATCTCGCAATCGATCGCACTATCGACCTCACTATCGATAGCACTATCGATTGCACTATCGGTGCAACTGTCGATCTCACTTTCGATCTCAGTGCCGCTCGCACGATCGATGCAACTATCGATATCACTATCGACCTCACTATAGATCCAACTATCGATCTCACTACCGATCTCACCACATCTCGGTCGTTATCGATCTCACTATCGATCGGGACACCACGGCGGGACACCACGGCGGGACACCACTGGACACCACGGGACACCGCGAGACACCATCGGGACAATGCGGGACACCACTGAACACTACTGGACACCACGAGACGGCTGGACACCGCGGGACACCATCGAGACAACGCGGGACACCCTAGCTGGACACCCCCAGCCACCCCGCGCCCTCCAGAAGGCTGGGCTTTTGCATCCGAATCGCCTTCGCGACGGCGGGATCATTCCTCTCGCTCGCCCACGGCGACACACCGCGGGACACCATCGGGACACCGCGAGACACCACGGCGGGACACCCCAAGCCATCGCGCGCCCATCGGAGGGCCGGACTTTTGCATCCGAGTCGCCCTAGCGACGGCGGGCTGATTCTTCTCGCGCGCTCACGCAGCTTCGCCTCGCCCGCACGAACGACGCGAACACGAAACTGAAACCGATTTCCTGATGGGGGGCGCTCCGTTTCATGGCGGTCTCATCCCTCAACCTCCGACATAGCGGGTCGCCAGGGCCACCGCCGCGACATGTTAAACAAAAATTCCAGGCAGTATCCGACCCCAAACCAACTTCTGTGTCGGATTTGGAGGTCGCCGCGGCGATCTCGGCGGCCATTCATCAGGGCAGGGTTCGAGTATTTGTCAGGGAGTGGCATGTCGCGCTCCTTCCCAGCCCCCCCCCCCGCTCTGCGGTGTAGACGTCGTTCAGAATTGGCTACACAGCGACAGAGAGTTGCCCATGTATGTCCAACATGGGCAATCATTGTTTGGTTGAGTGTCGATTGTCACGCAACCGTGTCGCCCCTCGCACCCGAGCTAAACCCCCAAGAGCTATACAGCTCTTCGAGCCGACGCAAACTGACGCAAGCCGGCGTACGCCCAGATCAGTCGGGGCGGCGCCTCTGCGGCCGGTCGTGGCGCGCTCCGCGGGCCTGGTCCAGCGCGGCCCTCTGAACGGTGATGCTCTCGTCGTCTTCCCTTTTCTCTCCCCTTCGCATAGCTGTTTTGGCTCTAGGTTTGGACCTTTCTGGGCGTAAATCGCCAATTCGGCCCAACCTCGTACTACAGGGCGGAGCTTTACTCGCCAACTTACCACCGATGGCTGCCGCGCAGGCGGAGCGTACGCTGTTCCTGGGGAATCTGCCAAGGAGTCTCAACCGGGACGAGGTCATGCGGTGGCTCACCAGCTCCGGGTACGGCGACTCGTACGACTTTCTGTACGTGCCCCGCTGCTTGAAGACGAACCGCAACAAGGGCTACATGTTTATCAATTTCATGCAGGAGGAGACTGCTCGCCAGTTCACGGCGCAGTTCGACAGCGTCGCCACGGGGCATGGATGCGCGCAGTTCACCGTGTCGCTTTCCGAGCATCAGGGCATCGAGGCGTGCCTCGCCACGTTGCGCAAGTCCTCCTCCCGGAGAATCAAGAACCCCCAGGCCACGGTACGTCTCGAGCCGATTGATGCCGATTCCGGCTGGCTCGCTGCGGTTCGATGCCGATATTCTGGCGATCCGATGCGACCCGATGCTCGCACGGCGCTGTTGTGCATCTTGGAGCGACCAATGCGAATCGCTTCTGACCCCGTCCCAATGCAGACCGGTCCGACGCACATCCCGACTCCACAAGATCTCTCGTAAGATGCTGACTGGTCTAAATGAGGTCACCGCGTGGGGTACTAAGGTGATCAGGGGGGTCTGCATTTAGGGGGATGTGAATGTAGATTATGGCGTAGCCTAGCCCATAAGTGGGTAGCAGATGCCCGAGGTGGGTAAGGTGGAGTGCGGATCTGGTCGAAGTGGGCGAAGTCCTCTTGCCGGAGTTATCGAGTCACCTACTGCTACTTAGGGCATTTGTAGTTCATGCCGAAGCTAGGTTCGGCCATACATGTGTATATATAAAATTATGTATGCATGTATGTACTTATAGATCATATATGTGTGTGTATGTGTGTATGCATGCATGCATGCCTGCCTGCCTGCCTGCCTGTCTGTCTGTCTGTCTGTCTTTCTGTCTGGATGTACGTATGTATATATGTATGTATGCATGTGTAGAAATAGATATACACACATCCCTTGGCACGAGGCGAGGGGGGCCAGGGAGGAGCCCCCCGACATCGCATGGCAGGACCAGGCCGCCACGGACGCCCACAGAGGGGGCCTGGAAGGGGGCCTTCGACAGCGCATGGCGGGGCTGGGCCGCCAGTGACGCCCCCAGACGGCCTGAGACAGCCCCAAAACACATGAAAAGGGCCCCTAGAGGCCTCGAAGACGGCCCAGAGTCGCCGAAATATTGTTTTCACACGCCCAAGACAGCCTCCAGATGGCCCAAACGGCTTCCAACACGGCTCAAGGGGTCTCCAAGAGTACTCTCAAAAGGGCCCCAAGAGGCAACAATCATTGATGCTCCGCAAGCTTTTGATGGATTTTCGCGTGTCTGCCTTTTCGGCTTCCCGACGCTCCAAGACGGTCCCGGAGGCCCGAAATTTCGCCTCAACACAGCCTCAGAGGCCCCCACGAGAGTGCCGAGACAGCCCAAGAGGCCCCCTAGACGGCCCAACAGGCCTCCAAGGCAGTCCACAAGGGCCCCAAGAACGCCTCAAGTGGGACCCCAGAGGGGGAACACGAACCGACATTTCGAGCTCTCCGCCCCTTGAGGCCCCCAAGAGCCCCCAAGCCGCTCCCAAGAGGCCCCCAAGAGGCCCCCAAGAAGCCCCAACCCAAGGAAGCCCCAGGAGACCCCCAAGAGGCTCTCCACGGAGGCTCCTCCTTGGAGAGCCCCTGGGGGCCTCACAAAAGTTGTAGGCCTCCTGGGCGTATTCTGGGGGCCTCTGGGGGCTTCCTCGGGCCACCCTGCCTCCAACCGCGGTTTCCCTGAACGACCAGGTTACGATTTGGAATGCTTCGGAGGGTGTCTTGGGGCCATCTTGGGCCGCCATGGCGTTTTGGGCCTCTCTTGGACTGCCTGGAAGCCGTTTCGGATGGTTGCGGGGCGATTCAGGAGCCTCCCAGGCGGCTTTGGACGCCCAGAAGACCGCCGTCTTGGAGCGTCGGGAAGCCGAAAAGAGGATAACCCCAAACTTTACCCAAACACAACAGAAAATCAATGATTTGTACTTCTTTGGGCCTTCTTGGGAGTGCTCTTGGAGGCCTCTTTGGGGCCGTCCTGGAGGCCTCTTGGGCCATCTTGAGGTCACGTCGGTCACTCTTGGAGCGCTCTTGTGCTGTTCGGGGGGTCTCTGGGACGTCTCTGATGACCCCCCTGATCGCCCTGGGTGTGCTGGGAAGGCTCGGCAAAACGCCCTGCGAGGCCCGGGGGGCCGCTTCGAGGCCCGTCCGGAGGGTCCCAGAGCCCCAGATTCCAGGAGTTCGGTTTTGGGAGGGGGGTGTCCCCCCGCCAGGGCTGATAGAAATATACGACAAGAATACAACATATCATGGAGATACAGACGACCCAAGATGACCTCAAGAGCACTCCAACGACGGACGACGGCCCCAAAGCTCAGCATTCATCGTTGGTCCATCGGTTTTTGACGGAGTTTCGTTACTCCGCCTTTCATTGTTCTCTACGTTTTACGACGACCCCAGAGGCCCCCAAGATCGCCCTGAGTCCGCGCCCCCACAGTGATGCGATCCTAGGACTATCTTGTGAACCCGCAGTGCCGCGGATGCACCCCGCCGCGAGTCCAGTGCCATGTCTCGGAGCACATCTTCTTTGGGGCCGCCCGGACGCCAAATTTGCCGGGCTGCAGTCACGCGTTTTGGCACGATGCAGGTTGTCGGATCATCGGTGATGATGTTGGTCAGTTGCTCGCCATCCAATTTGGATCCGTGCTACAGGTATAGCATCAAGCTGGGCCTGTCCCTCTACAGGAGGAATATTCAAAAATGGTTGAAAAATAGTTCGGGGACGATTGTTTGAGCTGTTGTTGGCCATTTTGGGATATGTTTGGAGTATTTTTTGTTTTTCACTCAAAATCCCCCTGTAGGGGGACACGCCCGACCTAAGTATGGCACCCTGGTGCTCCAAAGTGACCCAGGAAAAAGGGGCCTCCCCCTGGCCCCTTCGCGGCCATCCTGGGCGCCCCCACCGCGGCGCGGGAGCGCTCCCAGAGGGCGTCCACAGCGGTGAGAGCGAGGTCGCGCAAGGGAGCGCGCGCGTGGCTTGCCCATCACTGTTCTCGGGGGCCCTCCGGAGCTCTCTTCCGGTCCTTCTGGGGCTGTTCCGAGAGCCTTCTGGGGGCCCTGCAGTGCGGCCCCCGGAGGCCGAGGGCTCCCCGAGGGCCTCGATGGTGCAGCGGTGCAAGCTAAGTCATGCGAAGGAGCGCTCGCGCGATGATGACGGCGATGGTGGTTATGATGATGGTGATCATGGTGATGATGGTGATGATGATGATGATGATGATGATGATGATGATGATGATACCGATGATGATGATGATGATGATGATGATGATGATGATGATGATGATGACGATGATGATGATGATGATGATGATGATGATGATCATGATGATGATGATGATGATGACGATCGGGATGATGATGATGCTGATGATGATGCTGATGACGATGCTGTTGATGATGATGATGGTGATGATGGTGATTGTGATGATGATGCTGATGATGATGACGGTGATGATGATCATGATGATTATGATGATGATGATGATGATGGTGATTATGACGATGATGACGATGATGAGTATGACGATGATGATGATGATGATGATGATGATGATGATGATGATGATGGTGATGGTGATGGTGATGGTGATGACGGTGGTGATGATGGTGATGGTGATGATGGTGGTGGTGACGGTCGTGATTATGATTGTGATGATTCTGCTTATGTTGATGACTCTAATGACGACGCTGCTGGCAGTGAGGATCCTGGTGCTGATCAGAATGCTGATTTATGACGACGGTGATGATGGTGACGATGAGGATCAGGATGAGGATTTCGATGATCGGAATAGCGCCTGTGACGATGGTGACGATCATGAGCTCGACAGTGATGAAGCGTTTGACTCCTTCTGCTCTTCGGCTGGGCGACCGCATTTGCAGTGCATACGGCTGATGGTTCTAGTAAGAATATGCAGATTGCCCATTTTAGTATCTGCTCCTAACTCCCTTGCCCCCTTTGCCCCCGTGCCGATCTCACCTCGGTAGCGATCAACGATTTCGGTCGCAACCGGAATTGCTTCAAATTCAGGTATCACGGGTCGCGACCGATTTTAGAATTGGTTGCGTTTGGTCGCGACCGATTTGGAGTACCGATCGGTCGTTGTCGATCGCGACCGAAGAAAATTGGTATCCAATAGTTTGGGCACGCTTGACCGCGTATCCGCGGGATCGCGCCCCTGAATCCAGACTGCAAGGGCGTAGACGATGGATCCCCTCGCCGCCCGTGAAGATCTCAGCATCTGATGCTGACTGATCTCAGCCAGCCCCAGCCTACGTCCATCACACGACCCACCCGGAGATCGGTCGCGACCGACTTCGCTTCTGATGTTTGACGTTTTGCGTATCCCCACCAGCTTAGTTCATTTTGTTTTGTGCACGTGCAACTGCGAGTTTGTCTTGCAGGTGCGAGCTTTGTCCGCCGACTCTGGCGGCAATTGCCTTGCAAATTAGCCCCGTACCGTGACCCGGACGCCGCTTCCGCTCCCTGTCCGTTGCCTCGGAGCCACTGACCAAAAAAAAGTATCCCCACCAGCCCATCCAGACACGATCGGAGGCTTTCTTGAGGCCTCTTCGAGGCTATTTTTGAGCCATGGTCGGCCACAGGCAGTCGGAGGCCAACTTGAGCCATGCTTAGCCATCCTGGGCCATCTTCCGCCTGTCCCGAGGCCTCTTGGAGGTCTGTCAAAGGATATCTCGAGCCATGCTCGATCTCCTGGGACCATCCTGGGGATAGGAGGAGGAAGAAGAGGTGGAGGCCGAGGAGGAGGAGGAGGAGGAGGAGGAGGAGGAAAAAGAGAAAGATGTGGAGGGGGAAGAAGAAGAGGAGGAGGAGGAGGAATGCGGCGCGTGGAAGACGAGGAGGAGGAGGAGGAGGAGGAGGAGGAGGAGGAGTGAGGAGGCAGCAACGGAGGATGAAAGGAACGGACGATGAGAAGGAGGATGAGAAGTCGGGTTTTGGAGAGATGTGGGGCCTCTTGGGGCACTCTTGGGGCTCGTTTTGTTGGTCTTGGCGCCCTCTTGGGGCTCACTGGAGGGAACTGGGAGGCCTCCTGGGCTCCACGGCTCAAAAAGAGGAAGGGTTAATTCGCCCCGCACCCCTTCCCTTCCCTCGGAGGCTCAAGAATCGCGCCCTGGGGCCCTCTTGGGCTGCTTTTAAAGCGCTCTTGGGCGCTCTCGGGGCCCTCTTCGGGCCCTGTTGGGCCTCCCTTGGGCCGTCTTGGGGCCATCAAGGGGCCTCAAACGCCAATCGGAAG